TAGCTTTAATTTTTTCCCACTTACAAGGTGAAGCACTGCTTAACTGATGTCCTGTGAACTATGAGCTTTTTCTTCCTTGCTGTGGGCCGTAGTGTGAGCTACAGGCACTGATCTCTTTGAACTTTGTGGATGACTGTTTACTCAGTCTTAGGAAGTAGTCATTACCAAGTTAAATTCTAAGACTTTTTTTTTAAGTTCATTTATTCATTTTGAGAGAGAGAGCTCAAGCAGGGGAGGGATAGAGAGAGGAGGGGAAAGAGAGAGAATCCCAAGTAGGCTCTGCACCGACTGTGTGGAGCCTGATGCAGGACTCAAACTCACCAACCATGAGATTATGACTTGAGCCGAAATCAAGAGTCCAATGCTTAACCAGCTGAGCCACCCAGGCATCCCAAATTATAAGGCTTTTTACAGGTATCTGTATTATTTCTCTGGAGCCCTTGCCTCTCCAGTGCTCTGATCTACAACACTAGTCACCTTCATTATACCACATTCTCAATGATAATCTCCTCAATTTAGGGAGGTTGCTGGAGTCTGACTGGGTTCCACATCCCTGCACCATAACCTGGAAACTGTATCTGTATTAAGCTGGGGAAATCATAGGGCCTCCCTTAATTGTTTGTATCCTTCATCAATCACTTTCCTTTGTTGTCTGATATTCAGAGTCTTGAGCGTTATTGTTTCATACATTTTTTCTCATCTTTTAGGTGTTTTAGATGGTAAGATAAATATAGCCTGTTACACCATCTTGTTAGAAGTAGAAGTGTGTAAATGGTCTATAGAGCTTTCTTTAATATATGGGAAGGTGGTAACATACATTTTTGAGGAAGGTTTGGACTAGTCAGTGAAAGGTAATGACCCTGTTTTGTTATATACCATTCAAAAATTAGTGTAAGTTCTCATATTATAACATATAGTATTATTAATCACAAAGAGTTTTATGTATATGTACACACACACACACACACACACACACACACACACAAGCCCCAACAGACACCTACAGAGACACACAGTCTCCAGTATTCAATCCCGAAGAGTATGAAGGTAAATGAGGATTCTCCCACACAACTCATGGCCATGTAAGTTGTTCCAGCCTCTGGTTTTGTTTTTTAATTGAACAACTCTTTTATGTTTAATTTAAAAAAAAAATAGAAAATCTAAATAGTAATACTTTAGACCTAGTATAATTTTTACTCTGGGATGCCACTTTATGGAAAAAATAGTCAAAAATATTTATGTCAGTTATTCTCTCTGTATATTATTTCACTAGATTTTAGAAATAATTATTTACTGAGAAGACAATAATGCATCCATGTGTAAGTAGCCACTGAAGCAATGTATATCAAAAGTTTGTTCAAAAAGAAAGATTTATATAATACTGTAAATTGAAACAAAGTAGGGCTATACAGAACTTATATTCTTAACCTTAAAATAGTAAGTTGATAACAATATATATCTTACTACTTCAGCTATAAAGTACTTTAAAACATGTTATTAATATATAAACATGAATACAGTGTAGTGAATGCTAACTTAGCATTATGTGTACTGTATTCTACACATGGGCATAGTGAACAAAACCGGTATCTGCTTATTTGCTAGTAGGGAATAAAGATCTGCTTTACAGAGAAGAGTAGAGTGTCTAGGATCAAATAAATATGCTAAAAAGTAATTGGAAAGTGAAATTATACTTTTTATTTACATGTTAAGAAACAGCTTATCTGATATTCACTGACATTTATATCTATGTGTTTTGTGAGCAGGTGACAATGCTTCTGGTGTTCTGGAGTCATGGAATTGTAGTGTCATTTTATACTCTCTTTATTCGGCCTGTTGAACTTTATACAGTCATGTTAAGTTTTTTTTTTCTTTTTTTTTTTTCTGTCTATATGTCTCCAGAGAGCTTATATTATAATCTTAATTTAAAATACACACAGTTGGGGGTGCTTGGGTGGCTCACTCAGTTGACTGTTTGACTCTTAATTTCGGCTCAGGTCATGATCCCAGGGTCGGGGATGAAGTCCTGCATCGGGCTTCATGCTGAGCATGGACCCTGCCTAAGATTTTCTCCTTCCCTGTGCCACTGACCCCTGTACGCTCTCTTTCTCTCTCTCTCAAAAAATAAATAAATAAACAAACAAAATAAACACTATTTTATGAAATTTAAAATTATGTGATACTAAATCCAATCGTTAATTTTTTAATTTATATTTTTGAGAGATACAAAGAGAGTGTGAGCAGGGGAGAGACAGGAAAGAGAGAGACAGAGAATCCTAAGTAGGCTCTGTGTGGTCAGAGAAGAGCCGAAAGTGGGGCTCAAACTCATGAAACTGGGAGATCATGACCTAAGCCTAAATCCAAGAGTCGGACTCTTAACCTACTGAGCCACCCAGGCTCCCCTTAAACTCCATCTCTGTATTTCACAATCTGCTATTGTGAACAACGTCCACTTGAGACATACTGAATTTGATCTACTGATTAATAGGCTTCATGGTAAATTTTGCTTATTTTTCCAGAGAAATCTAATCTTACATTTGGATACATTATGTATCTTTTCTGGTAGTTTTTGATCTTCATTTATTCTTCCAGGATAGTTTCTAGTTAGAAAAGTAACTTTTGGGAGGATAAAGAATATATTTTGTCCTAATGTATTCCCTTGCATACCTTGCTGAGTGCCAAGCACTGGTGGGATCAATAAATTATTCCAAAGTGAATCAATAAATTAATTGTAATAAGCTCATTTCAATCATGACTTCTCCAATAATAATATCCTTTATATTATACAAAAGAAACCATATTATATTGTTAGTATAAAGGACTTAATCGTTTTGGTGTTTTAGTTTTTAAAATATATTCTCTACCGGGGCGCCTGGGTGGCTTAGTCGGTTGAGCGTCTGACTTTCACTTAGGTCATGATCTCGCGGTTCGTGGGTTCGAGCCCCACGTCGGGCTCTGTGCTGACTGCCAGCTCAGAGCCTGGAGCCTGTTTCGGAGTCTGTGACTCCCTCTCTCTCTGACCCTCCCCTGCTCACGCTCTCTCTCTCTCTCTCTCCTAGAAATAAATAAAAATTTAAAAAAATATATTTTCTACCTATCTTCTATTAATGGCATATCATGAGAAAGTAAATAAAGTATGAGGTTAGAAAGAAAGTGATATTGTGTCATCATCTAAGTCTACAAAACAGTACTTAGTGATAATATTTAAAATTCTGTTAACTGTTTTAATTCTTTGGGAGTAGATACACCAGAACAGACATGGTAGTAATTTCATTTTAAAAATGACTTTTTAATAAAGAGTAATTTCTCTGTTGTGTTTTATTGCTTTGTAGGCTTAATGGTGAGAGTTATGGATGAAATGTTGGTATCCCTCCACCCCAAATTCACATGTTAAAATACTAACCCCCAAAGTGGTATTTGGAGATGGGGACTCTGGGACATAATTAGGTTTAGATGAGAAAATATGCATGAAGCCCCCATGATGGGATTTGTGTCTTTACAACAAGAGGAAAAATAAGAGCACCCTCTCTCTGCCATGTGAGGACATAGCCAGAAGGTGTCCATCTACAAGCCAGGAAGAAGGCCCTCACTAGAACCTCACTTGCTGGCACCCTGATCTCAAACCTCCATCCTCCAGTACTGCCAGTTAAAAATTTCTATAGTTTAAGTGTTGCAGTTCTGAAATTTTGTTAGGGCAGTCCAAGCCGACTAAGACAGAAGAAGCTGATCCTGGGAGGTGGAATGCTATTGTAACAACAAACCAAAATGTGGAAGTAGCTTTGGAACTGGGTGTTGGGGAGAAGCGGGAAGTGTTTCGAGGTGCGTGCTGGAAGATGCAGAGATTGCTGTGAGAGTACTGCTTAAGGCAACTCTGGTGAGGGCTCAGAGAGAAAAGAGGAGACCTGGAAAGCCTCCATCTTCTTAGAGAGTACATAATCATGAACAGAATGTTGGTAGATATGTGGATGGTAAAGGCCTTTCTGATGAGGTCTCAGATAGAAACCTGGAATATGTTATCAAACAATGGAGAAAAGGTGATTCTTGTTATAAAGTGGGCAAAGATCTTGCCTGAATTGTATTTGTGTTTTAGTATTTTGTGGAGGCTAGAATTTGTAATTGATGAAATCAGATATTTAGCTGAGAAAATTTCTAAGCAAAGTGCTGAAGGAGTGGCTTCGTTTCTTCTAACTGATTATAGTAAAATTTAAGAAGAAAAAAAGGAATTGTTAAACTAGAAAGAAGCAGTACTTATAGATTTGGAAAATTCTCAGCTTATCACTATAGCAGAGAATACTAGGGATGTGGCCAAACAACCCATTGCCAGTTTCAACTAAAGGGATGGAGATGGGATGAAATGAAGGAAGGCTTTTGGCTTTCTTAGTTCCCATAGGACTGCAACCCAGTTATTTTGCTGTGTACATGCACTGTTCTTCAAGGCTAGGGATAAATTGTTCCAAAGGCAAATTCAGAGAGCATCAGGGCTGCCTCCTTGGTTTTAAAGTGGGAGAGGGTGCCGTCATCCTGGTTTGAACAGATCAGGCAGCAGCTGCCCAGAGCATCATGGGGTGTAGGGCCACCTAGCAGAGCATGGTTGCAGAGGGACATGACCAGCACTGTCATAATCAAAGACTTCTGTTTATTCACTACTGTTAATAACCCCAAACTATATCACACTTCTTACCTATAAGCTGAGAGATAAGTATTAATCTTCTTTCTCCTTAAATTTGCAGATAAATATCATTAATGACAGATGTATAATAGGAAAAAGACAGGAAGATTAAGGAACTTGGGAGGAAATTTATTTAAGATATTGTTCTTATCTGCTGTGCCACCCGTAATATTGAGTATCTGTTTATTCTTACCCAGTGTCTTTTGGGGAATTTCAGAGTACTATTAATACATATTAAAAAACTTTTTTAAAGACTTTGTGATTAAAATGCATTTGCATAAGAGAGGTTGGCCAGTGTTTCTTTTTGCTTTAATATTTGTTATTTTTGTAGGATATAAAGTGTGATCGAACTGAACGTCTGTTTGGCTTTGGCTGATCATCATGAACCGTGCTTTTAGCAGAAAGAAAGGTACGTACGCACATTTAAAGGACCTAGGGATCAATTCGATATTACTGTGAAAATCAAACAGAGATGTTAAGGAATCAGTTTTTCCTATTATCAAATTGCATGTTTCAGGAATGAAGTTAGAATAGAGTAACACACATATACAAACATTGCTAATTAACCTTCTTGGCTTATCACCCTAATGGAAGAGTGGAATTGTTTAATACATTTTTTTAAATTTTTTTAAAGTTTATTCATTTTTTGAGAGACAGAAAGAAACAAAGCATGAGAAGGGGAGGGTCAGAGAGAGAGGGAGGCACAGAATCTAAAGCAGGCTCTAAGCTCTGAGCTGTCAGCACAGAACCCAATGTTGAGCTTGAACCCACAAACTGGGAGATCATGACCTGAGCCGAAGTCAGAGACTTAACCAACTGAGCCACTCAGGTGCCCCTTAATAATATATTTAATTCAGAATACATTTGTGACAGTATGTTCTCTGACAGTTTTATTCTGTGGTGTGAAATTGCAAAATATAAAGTGATCTGAAACTAGTCCTACTTAGATGGCATAGTCATGTAATACTAAATTCCCCGGGCTTATACAGATTTACCATGACTTAGTTTTTTTAATGTCTATTAATTTCTGAGAAAGAGAGAGACAGAGTGGGAATGGTGGAGGGGCTGAGAGAGAGGGAGACACAGAATCCGAAGCAGGCTCCAAGCTCTGAGCTGTCAGCACAGAGCCTGATGTTGAAAGGCTCAAACTCATGAACCACAAGACCATGATCTGAGCTAAAGTTGGATGCTCAACTGACGGAGTCACCCAGGCGCCCCAAATCTGCCATGATTTAAATTCATGCTTCTGTATGTGTGCACATGCTTCACTCTTTATTGAATAATATGTGAGGATTGATGATAGGTAAATTGATAACAATGAGGCCAAAATAACTTTGTTATTAATTTTCAGGTAGGGATTTAAAATAAATATAAGTGTAGTATATCATAATTATCAGCATACAAATGAAAGAAGCAGCTAGTTAAGTGCTCTTTTTATAAGGGCCAGGAAAACATGGCATTTGACAAATATTACATGATGTACTTGTAGGAAAAATTGCAAAATTTGATAGTTTTACGTAGTTCAGTGAAGTTAAAATAATGTATCCTTATCTTTTTGTAAGGAGCTATCTAGTACTGGACAGGAGACTCTGCCCTACTTAATATGCTGTCAGTGAATTGAGAGAGAATCATTTAATAGTGCTACTCAAGTTCATAAGGGATTGAAAGCAGAAATACATAAACTGATATGGTAGAATTACAGATACATGGGGGAGAAATGACCAGTTATGTCATACTCCACACTGTAAACTTAATAAGATCCTGTAAATTGCCAAACATGGGTCCAGAAAATCTAACACTTTCATTTTTATTTATATACTGTTATTATTAGGAAGATGCACCTTAAATTCTATGGGTAAAAAAATGACCGAAGAATTAAGTCAATAGTGTGTATCAAAGGTTCTAGTTAATTTTCTATGTATGAATAATAAAGAGTCCAGAACAATGACATAGATTGTTCTGCTCCATTCCATGAAGTCTGGCATAGTGTGTTCTCTCTTTAAAGGACTGATGGACACTTTGTAACGCACCCAGATGAGAAAGGCTGGGATGACTCAGGAGTTTCAACCTAGAACAGGAAGTATGGCTGAGAATCCTTGGTGTGGTCTTTCAATGTTTGAAGGACTACCATGAGGTCATGGGACTAAGTTTAATAAAGGACATATGGGTATAAATTACAAGGTCATTGATTTAATGTAGGAAAAAATTCCAACAGAGTTGTGCAAACATATCATGGAATTACTTGAAGTACAAACTATTTTTGTTATGGAAGTTAGAAATGTTCGAACATTTGGCTGTGGTATGTAGGATTAATGTATTCAGTAGAGATTTAGGTAATGTGAACTTTCAGGCACTTTTCAACCCTGGGGAACTGGGAACTTATTATTTTGCTTATTTTTCTGAATAAGGGGAAGGCAAAATAACATTTACTGTGCTTTGCAGCTTGCTTTTGATTTAAAACATATCCTGAAAGTAAAATGTTTCTTTTTTAAATTCTTCTACTATTAAGAAAAGAATCTAGAAGTAATTTTATGCTACATATAAGTATTATTAATGAAGCAATAAAAATCTTACATCACAACTCGTCACTTTAATCATATTATCTTATTTTTAATGTTTATTTTTAAGAGAGAGAAAAAGAGAGAGGGAGTTTGAGTGGAGGAGGGGCAGAGAGAGAGGGAGACACAGAATCTGACGCAGGCTCCAGGTTCTGAGCTGTCAGCACAGAACCCAATGCGGGGCTCGAACCCATGAACCGTGAGATTATGACCTGAGCCAAAGACATTTAACTGACTGAGGCACCCCCATATTATCTTATTTTTAGAAAGCACTTCTAGACTATCTCTTTTTTTAATTTGCTTACATTTCCTTTTCCCATGTTTTTAAGGTGGAAACCCCCTATTTCTAATTTCTCTTTAGTTGAAGAGGATTTGGGAGTTTTTTGTAGAGAAATCCCAAGTAACCAGCAATAGTATATTGGTTTCATTTGATGACAGTGGAAGTACAGCCATGGGGGAAATTGGACTGATTTAGAGAATCAGGAAAGAGAAGCACTTGTTCTTTCCTCCTTTGCCTCATTCTTTTTAAAAAGTTTCTTTTTTTCTCCCAAGCTTAATGATTAAATTTCCTTATTAGGAAATTATTGATCAATATTTTACTCTAATTCCAAGTTAGAGGTAATACCAGAAGTTCTATCTACTTACTAATCAATTCTGACTCTTACTTAGTGAGGCTGTTCCAGGAAGAATTCTTAGCGCCTCTGCTGCTAGTTCCAACCAACACTATTGGGTTGAATTTTAATTTGACTTGGGAAAATTGAATTTTATGAGAGAAGTCATACATCTTGACAATTGGGAGCTGTAATTGTACCCCTAGAGAATATACTATTCAGTCGTATTTCCGATAACTATCATCAGCACACACTCTATATTCTATTCTAAACAAAGCAAGATGGTTTTCAATCACTAAAAGCTTATCTCTTCTTTCATAAGTGTCCAATTTCCTTGATTATCACATGCAACCTTACTAAATTGCCCTGTACCTCAGAAGCCTATGGAAAAGAGATCATCTTAAATTCAAACTTTTATATATATATATATATTCTTGTTATCAACCTTTCCAATTAGTATTTTGTCTGATATTCTTTGGTTGAATTAACCAGTGCCTTCACTGATTTTCTTTGTAAATGCTCTATCTAATGCTATGCATTCTAAAAAAGAGTGAATTTATTAGAATTGCATTGTTTTGGACTCTCTTTTTAAAAAAAATTTTTTAACGTTTTATTTATTTTTGAGAGAGAGATAGAGACAGAGTGAACAGGGGAGGGACAGAAAGAGGGAGTCACAGAATCCAGAGACAGGCTCCAGGCTCTGAGCTGTCAGCACAGAGCCAGATGCGGGGCTCAAACCCACAAACTGTGAGATCATGACCTGAGCTGAAATTGGACGCTTAACTAACTGAGCCACCCAGGCTCCCCCATTTTGGACTATCTTGAGGAGATCTATAAAAATTAGTCTAACTTCATAACCATTGATTATTTAATGAATGTATTTGTTCTATAGCTTCTTTCTCATGTTAGCTTTCTCTTTGAGTTTTTAAAATCCTATATTCTATTCATCACATCAAAAATGAATTAATTTGGTAACAAAACATGAAAGATTAATGTGAATCCATACGATTAAATAATTCAACCAGTTACATTTTATTTTCTTTAACTTAACAGTTGACGTACTGATGAGTAGACATAATCTTAGCATAGCAATTAAAATTCAATATTTAAGTCGTTTCCCTTTTTATAATCTATTTACATGTATGAATTTACCCAACAGCATTTCATTTCAAATTTGATATACTCAGAGCACCTGGGTGCCTCAGTCAGTTAAGCTTCCAACTCTTGAGTTTGGCTTAGGTCATGATCTAATCTCAGGGTTCATGAATTCGAGCCCTGCATTGGGCTCTGCTCTGACAATGTGGAGCCTGCCTTGGATTCTCTTTTTCCTTCTCTCTCTTCCCCTCCTCTGCTTGCTCTGTCTCTCTCTCTCTTTCAAAATAAACTTAACAAAATAAATTTGATACACACAAAGTAGATGCTTTCAAGATGCTAAGCTCTGGTGATATAATAATAATGAACTTCCTGCATCCTTCTTGATGAGCTCTTAATCTAAATGCATTTTGAACATAGATTTATTGCCCCAGCAGTCAGAGTACTTTGTCACTTACCAAATATTTTGAAATGTTGGCATTTCCTTTTATGTGACTGTTTACTCTTGAGTTAGTGATTACAGTTTAATTTCAAGGAAGGAGCACATTCCATAATGTCTATGTCCCTGTTTCCATACCAGTTCCATATATCTAATTGCTCCTATGGGCATAGATAGATAATGACCAGGAAACATCTCTACTCACTCTTCAAGGTCGGTCAAATATGAATGAGTTAATATAAAGAGTTGTATTCTGTCAGATTTTCCTGACAAAGTATAAATTAGGACAACAGTAAGGATGTGTTTTAGAAATCGTTCAGGTGTTTTAACTATACTGCCTGAACTAGAGGTATGTAGTAAACAACCACTAAACTATCATCACTTGAAATGTGGGTGTAGAATTTTTGCCATTGTAACAATTGCAGCTTATCCACTGGTAAGTTAATATTGTGAATATTTTAATCTGTCATCAGTAACAGCTGGATGTAACCACCCTTTTTCTAGGTCACTGCAATACAAGACTATAATGGAAGTAGTATCATCAGTTTTCAAATAATAGTAGCTTATAGGAGAAAGCAATTATTCCTCTGCCTCAGGATTGGAATGGACCATTATGTTCAGATTTAGACTTTAAACCCTTCTGAGCAGTGTTTTGTATCTTGGAAAAGGAGACATGAGTATAATTGACTTAAGGGGTTAAAAAAAAGAAATTGGATTTTTTCCCTTAGGTTTCCTAAAGGCACATCTTTGTTTTTATTATCTTGGTGTTTTTATCATTCTGGTGCATAGCATTGTGATACAAGAGCAAGACTGTATCCCAAATCTAAGAACAAATATTATTCTTGAATTAATCATTTCACTATTTATTAGCAGTTATAAAGAGATAACTGTAATTAAAATGAAAATCCTTATAGGAAATAAAAATTTTACACATTAATATCGATGTCAATATGCTTTTTTTGAAGCTTAGAATGTGTTGCTTATCAAAATACTTCACCCACATACAACTATCCCATACCTGCTTCAGTAGTCAGAAATAGCCCTAAAATGCATTATGAGCTTGGGATTTTATTGATCCCTCATGTTTTGTTTTAGAAATTCTTGTAAACATTGTACCTCATAAACATGTTTAATATAAATATAGTGCATTATTTTCTTTTTTTTTTTAAATATTTTTATTTATTTCTAGGATAGAGAGAGACAGCGTGAACAGGGGAGGGTCAGAGAGAGAGGGAGNATAATAGGAAGGGTTGAGAATTCGCTCTCCATTACAGACAGTATGAAAACAAGTAGGAATGGTTTTCCTGGTCAACACACACAATGAATTTATTTTCTTTTTCTTTTTTCTTTTTAATTATTAAAAAAATTATTTAACATTTTTAATTTAATTTTGAGAGTGAGAATGAGCAAGGGAGGGACAGAGAGAGAGGAAGACACAGAATCTGAAGCAGGCTCCAGGCTCTGAGTTGTCAGCACAGAGCCCGACGCGGGGCTCGAACCCACGAACCGCGAGATCATGACCTAAGCGAAAGTCGGACGCTTAACCGACTAAGCCACCCAGGCGTCCCAGTGCATTATTTTCCAAATGGTATAAAGTAATTGACATTCCAGAAATTTAGGCCTTTTCTCTTTGTCTTCACAATCCCTCAATTTGAGAAGAACATATTAATGATATCAAACTAGTTTCTGTTAACATCATTTTCAAATGTTCTGAATAGAATGTTAAAAATACTTCGTTAGGAATCTATTTCTTTTCAGTTTATACTTATTTATTATTTTTCATGGTGAAATGTGTCTTTCATTCTATTCTGTTCATAATATTGATTCTAAATTTTAAAATTCTGTGAGGAATAAAATATAAAACTCTACTAAGGGAGACAATAATTTTTGAAGATTGAGAAGTTTCACTACAAACAAATTCAATTTCAAAAATATAGTCAAATATGATTAGTTTAACATCTTTTGCTTTTTTTCCACTTATATATTCCACAAAATATTTTGGAAGCTATATGGAATATGTAAATACAATTCAAAATTGAATGAAAAATATTTTCTATTTCCAGTAATAATATGCAATACAAATTATTTTCAATATGTTCTGTTCTTTTAGTTATTTTATTTTCAACATTCTCTTACACTAATTTAAGGATTCTTTCAAACTTTAAAGAGTTTTGTTAGGGAATTTTTTTTAAAACACTGTTAATCATGAGAGTATAAAAGGAAATGAAAAAGATATCACATAATCTCATAATTGATGTAACTACTTGTAGTCTACTGAGTTGTTATTTTTTTATATTCTTTAAAAACTTAGTATTGTTTTTTTATTTGAGTACTTTTTAAAGAGAAAGCTAGGATCTTTTATACCAAGGAAAGGATCTTATAAACACTTTGCAGCTACATTGTTTTTATATATGACTAGTTATTCTTTCTCAATTTAGCAAAAGAATCATGATTTAGAAATGTTCCCACCCATATCAGACTCCTTACATATGCTAATGAGTGAATATGACACCCTTAGAATGTATAATTTAATTTAACACTGTGTGTTCTTCATTGCAGACAAAACATGGATGCATACGCCTGAAGCTTTATCAAAACATTACATTCCCTATAATGCAAAGGTAAAATAGTTTATTTGATATTATTGAATTCATTTTGTTATATTATTAAAATTATATTCATGGTTGATCTTAGAAGGATTGCTTATGCATTGGCATTTCCTAGTAGATGATCCCTGAAAAAAAATGCACAAATAATTCCATAATGGATAGTATGGGAAATGATTTTTCTCTCCAAATAAGTCAATTCTTTTTTCCCTGTCACTCCAAGTGATTATTATTATTTTTAAAAATTTTTAAATGTTTATTTTTGAGAGAAAGAGAGAGAGAGCATGAACAGAGGAAGGGCAGAGAGAAGGAGACAGAATCTGAAGCAGTCTCCAGGCTCTGAGCTATCAGCACAGAACCCAGTGTGGGGCTCGAACCCATGAACCATGAGATCATGACCCGAGCTGAAGTCACTCAACCGACTGAGCCACCCAGGTGCCCCCAAATAAGTGATTATTTTATTGAATTGTAAAGAGTATTCTTTATAATTTTGGTTGGTAATGCATGTAATTTCTTCAAATGATTTTGCAATATCACGGCCTATAGGAACAACCAACAAATTAGCTTCCTTTAAAAGCACTTTAATGTTGCATTAAAATTGGAATATAAAAACTAACTTGATAATGAGAGAAGTGAGCTACAATTTTAGTGAATGCAATAATCATTCAAAAAAGAGACAAACAAAACTTAAACTATTAAGAAAACAGAAAAAAGTACATTACTCTTTCATTTGTTTCTTTTTCATTTTAATAGAGAAATAGAAACAATCTATGCTCCATATCTTCCAAAATTTGATTCATTGTTGATGTTGGAAAAGTGGACAAATAAATGAATGCACTTTGCAAAAAGGTCTTAAAGATAGTGTTATTTTAGAAATAAGTAGCACAAAACCTGAAATAAGATTTCAGAAAAACCTGAGTCTAAACTTGTAAGCTACAGGAGAGAAAGTTGCATTGGGAACATGCTACTAAGTCAGACTTAAGCAACTGACCTTTAGACACAGCCTGGGAAAAACAAAAAATGATAACATTATTTTTATAACAGAACTTAAGAGTTTATGGATTAGTGAACTACATATATATAATGAGAAGAGGTACAAGGAGTTATTTTAGGAAAAATTTAGAAAAACATTTATTGAACAGAAAGTCAGTGCTGTTTAATAGAGAACCTCTTGAGTGCTGGTCTGAGTCTGAATCAGGAAGATGCTTTAAAAGGCCATCTAGAGATTGATCCAGAGCAGTTGCTCAGTAGTGAGGTTTGTAGAGTATGGCAAGTCCATTTTTTCTTGCTGACTTCATAGCAAAGAAATGCTCTAAAGTATTTTTGGTGTAAAGCTAATATACTTGCAATCATTGTAATGCTTAGGAATTTCGCAGTAATATTAACATGAGGATGAATCGCCATGATTTAGTATGAAAAGTTTGGTTAGCTGAATGAGAAAAATTAATATTATCTCTCTTCCACAGATATTTTTCATATTAACTATTGAGAAGCTATATGACACCTATAGAGAAAAAATTAATCTTGAAAACACTATTATTTTAAAGTGCATCCTCAATAGTTTGATCATACTAGAGTCATATCTTTAAAGTAAAACCACCACATACTATGTCTTTTTATATATGTCAGTCTGAAAGACTGGTTTATAAAGAGTTGAAAGATTCTAATTAGAACTACACTTAACTTTAACTCTGCGGGATGAGCAATGGAGATCTGCTTGTCTACATGTGCTAATTCACAGGTGCATAACTACTGTAAGGCATTCCACATGCAGCAGAGGGAGGGCGCAGGAACATCCTTCCAGACTGGGGTCAGTAAATTATGGAAGAGTGAATCAATTTTCTCCATTCTAATACGTCCTCTTGGTAATGATAAATGTCATGTATACCAAGTAGTATTAAAACTATTTGAAGAACATTATTTTTTTCTGGATCCCCCTTTTGTGTGGGACATTTAAAATTCATCATTAGTATTTACTTTTGAAAAGTTTCTGTATCTTTTTAGTGGACATGCCATTTGAATACCAAATCCATGTCCACAGGAAGTACCTTAGCACAACAACAACAACAACAGCAACAACACATGCAGACTCTTGGGATGCATGGCTGGCTCAGTTCATAGAGCATGAGACTTGATCTCGGGGTTGTGAGTTCAAGCCTCATATTGGGTGCAAAATCTACTTTCACACACAATAAAAATGGTAATAAAAGAAGGAAAAAACAACAAAGTAAAATAAATACCAATGATTAATAAATATATGAAAAAGATCTCAACTTCACTTATAATCAAATAAATAAAAAAATACAGACTTTAGACCTGAAAAAATACAGACTTTAGAACTAGAATAACTCAGTGAATATTCTGACTCTGACACTCGTTAGCTATGATACTTTGGGCAAATAACTTAATCTTTCTGTGTCTATAGTTACTCATGTAGAATAGGGATAATAGTAGTTTCCTCCATAGAGTTATTATAGACATAACATTTTAGATAAGTATTGGAAGGATAACTGAAATAAAATAACTACTTAATAAATGTAGCAATCACTTCTTTACCTTTTTATTTTCCACGAAACTTAACCAAAATGCCTGTTTCATAATAGGTATTCAACATATATGTATTTCATGAATTAATGCATAGTAACATTTCCAAAATAGTTATATTTCTTAAGACCTAATACATGCCAGGTACATGATCTCATTTAGTATTTGCCATGAGTCAGTATAGTGATTATTAATCTCTACATCAGAAAAACTTTCTATAAAGGAAAACTAAGCCTGACAGATTAAGAATTTGCCTATTCCCAGAAAGCTAGTAAGACCGAAGTCTATGTGATTTCAAAGATTTGCTGTTTTGTATGTATATAATAACATTTGATTATTCATTCATTTATTACATTGCTGATGTGTATGAGGGGTCATTATTGAAATTTCACTTGAATATTGGTGAAACTTCAGAGCTATATATGCCACTAACGTCATAAGGAAATATCATATAAAAATAACTAACATAAAAGTCAGATCATAGTCTGTGTCATTCAAATGGCACTTAAGAGAAAGCTATAGAGATTTAGAGAATGGTGTCATTCCTTTTTGATGAAAATAGGAGTTAGGTTGGAGTCCCAAGGGTCAAAACAAGGGTGGAATGACCATTTCATACGGATATATCTGAAGAAAGATGAGTAGAGTCCATAAGGTCTAAGGCACAAACTAAATATGGCAAAAGTTGGGCTGTGGCATAAAGTACTAATGATGGTAAAATGTTTTATTAGTCAGGGTTCCATCTGAGAAACGGAACTACTAGGATGTACACACACACACACTCACATGTGCACAAGCACACATTTGTCTTAAGGAATGGGTTATGCAGTTATGAGGCTGGCTAGGGGGCCAGTTTGAAAGGCATATTGCAGGCCATCAAGAAGCACAGGCTGTAAGTTCTTGGGCAGGACCTGCCACAGGTGGAATTTCTTCTTTAGGGGCACAAGCAGTTCTATTCTTAAGGCCTTTCAATTAATTGTATTAAACCCACCCAGATTATCCAAGATGTTCTTTTTTACATAAAGTCAACTGATTATGGATGTTAGTCATATCTACAAAATAACTTATGGCAAAACCGGGATTAGTATTTGACTAAAAACTGGATGGTATAAGTTGGCCAAGTTGGCATATAGTACTGACCATCACAAGCCCTGTGATGAGCAAGGATAAAAAGATGAAATTGAGAAGGCTTCGCATGGCAGGAGAAGCAGTTTGAGCAGTGAACTAATCAAGTAGGATTTTAGGAAGATGTACCTGTAATGATCTAGAGTTGATTTGGATTAAGAGAGATAGGAGGACTCTCAGCTTCTTAGGAAGTTACTTTAATGATCCAAGTGTGTGGTCCTAAATTTATATAAGGTAATAGATAAACATATAGTGGAACATACAGTGGAAAATAAAGATGTGCTAAATATTCCAGGGAAAGAATTGATGAAGCAGAGGGATAATTTATATGTGGGAAAAATAAAAATATCTATTTATATCCTGGCTCAAAGGGAGAATTGTCATACCATTAAATTTCCATCATTATATTCACTTTTGGGATCCACTGGTTACTAATACCAGAGCTGTTCCACAGCTGTTCAAGTATAATTCTCCCAGGAAAATAGTAACTTTTACATTTAGGTGTTTTCAGTTTTAAAGTAATAGTTTTATTCTTTTGTGTTATAATATCTTTAATTTTTAGAAAACATATATTTGATCACATTCTTTTCCATAAAATTCTATTTAAAAATTTCACACTTATTTATATTTGGATTATACTCGTTTCAGATCATATGTGGATATAAAATAATAGTTGTTTTCAAAATATCATTCTATATAGGGTTCATTAGTTTTCTTTCTTTCTTTTTTTTTTAAGTGAGCAGTGACAGCATTAATAGTAGTTCCTTAGGAATTCTGCATATTATCCTGTGTACTCTCTAGTGATGTTTTTCAAACTACAGGTTATGCTCCATGAAAAAAATTGGGTCATGAACTTAATGCACTGGATCATGGGAAGCATGTATTTAAAAGTGAAATAGGGAGCGCCTGGGTGGCTTAGTCAGTTAAGCGTCCGACTTTCACTTAGGTCACGATCTCGCGGTTCGTGGGTTCGAGCCCCACGTCGAGCTCTGTGCTGACTGCCAGCTCAGAGCCTGGAGCCTGTTTCAGTCTGTGACTCCCTCTCTCTCTGACCCTCCCCTGCTCACGCTGTCTCTCTCTCTCTCTCTTAGAAATAAATAAAACATTAAAAAAAATAAAAATGAAATAGAACAGAAGAGAAAAAGATAAGACATTTTTAGAATGTGTATTGTAAATATCAATTTGTTCCATAAAATTGTGGTTCATAATCATAAGTGTATGAAAGCCACTGCCTTTCAACAGTGAACTGCCTTTGAATGGTACCACAGTCTTCACCAGATTTAACTAATTTAAATCATAAAATAATAATAGGGGGAGCTGCTTAAAAGAGACATTAAATTTTTAATAGA